TCTGGGGTACTGAGATCTAAGGAGACAGAATCTGGGGTGCTGGGGACAAAGGAGATAGAATCTGGGGCATCAGAGACCCAAGAGACAGAAATTGAGATTCAGGCACTTGAGATAGTGGGGACTAAGGCTATAGAAACTGGGGTACTGGGAACTGAGGAGACAGAAGCAGAGATTTTGGCCCCTGGTACATTGGGGACTGAGGAGATGGAAGTTGGGGTATTAAAAATGACCGAGACAGAGCCTGGGGTATTGGGGACTGAAGAGACATTGACACCTGAGATAGTGGGGACTGAAGAGACATCAACACCTGAGATAGTGGGGATTGAGGAGACAGAAACTGGGGTGTTGGGGATGGAGACAGAACCTGGGGTACTGAGGACTGAGGAGACAGAATCTAGGGTACTGGGGACTAAGGAGACAGAATTTGGGGTATTGGGGACAAAGGAGACAGGATATGGGGTACTGGGGACTAAGGAGACAGAATTTGGGGTACTGGGATCTAAGGAGACAGAATCTGGGGTGTCAGAGACCAAAGAGACAGAAATTGAGATTCGGGCACTTGAGATAGTGGGGACTAAGGCTATAGAAACTGGGGTACTGGGGACTGAGGAGATATTGACACCTGAGACAGAAGCTGGGGTGTTGGGGACTGAGGAAACAGCTGGAATATTGGGGACCAAGGAGGCAGAAGCTCGTGCACTAGAGAATGAAGCGATAGGAACTGAGAAATTGGCATTTGAGATACCAGAGACTGAGGGGCTGGAGGCTGAGATAGTGGAGACCGAGGAGCTGGAGGCTGGGATTCTGATGTCTAGAAAGGCGGTATCAGCTGGGGAAGTGACCGGGTGGGCACTCCTGGGTTTGGGGGAGGAGTCAGAAGCAGAGCCAGAATCTGAGGGGTCTATCCAGGAGGCAAGTCCAGTCTCAGCAGGAGGGGGGGCTGGGGAAGAAGCCCCCATGGCCACAGCCACCGGCGTCCCCTGGGTGGCCCCCGCCTCAGTGCAGGAGGAAGGGGAGGCCCGGGGTTCTTCTGCCTTCTCTACACCAACACCCCCCAGCCAAGAATGGCCTGAAGAAGACAGGAGGCCTCAGGGCTGGGGGGGAGGCCCGGAGCCTCCCCTGGGCACCAAGGTAGGGACAGGGGCCCCCATGAGCCCTCCTGGCCTGCTGCTTTTTCACTAACCCCCCCAAGATCAGGATGTTTGGGGCAAAAGCTGAGCTAACTGGACAGAATGATTCATGCATGGACGGGATGGGGGGAGGAGGTGCAGGCCTCCTCTGGCATGCTGCCCCTTCTTCCAGGTCTGAGCTTGCCTGAGAAGCAGGGCGGCAAAGGTCTCCCACAGGCTTTGAGGTCTTACCTCTGCCCCTCTTGGTTCTCCCAGTGCGGACCAGCATGGCATGGATGGGGAGCCTGGCGCCTTGACACCGGGGGGCCTTCCGGGTGCGGGCTGCTGGTGGCCTCTGCCACTGACCGGGGCTGGGGTAGATCCGGCCTCTTGGGTGGGCTTCCCCAATGCCTTTATGCCCGGCACATCTGCGCTGCCAATGTGGCCTCCAGATCGAGGGCCCGGGGCTTGGCACTGGTGAAGGATGATGTTTTTGGTGTCCCTGCCCTGGGAGAAAACAATGATCCCGGGGTCCGTGAGTAGGCCCTGGACGAGCAGCATGCCAGGAGCCCCAGGGCTGGGGCCAGTCGGCAGGAGGCCTGTTCCCAGGTAGTGCCCGTGCTGAGCTTTCTTCCCTGTGGCAGGTCGGGAGGTCGGGGAGGACGCCTTCCCAAGCCAGGGGCTGCACCTGCAGACTGGCACCTGGCCTCCTCGGGGCTCTGGCGCTGAGGCGGCTCCTTCTGTCACTCCCAGGTCAGCTCCAGCCAGTCCCTGCTTGAGTGGTGCCAGGAGGTCACGGAGGGTTACCCAGGCGTCCGTGTCACCAACTTCACCACGTCGTGGCGCAACGGGCTGGCTTTCTGTGCCATCCTGCACTACTTTCATCCGGACAAGATGTGAGAGGCTGGGCCCCCAGATGGGCAGAGGCTGGGGGGAGGTGCTGGGAAGCGGGAAGGGACGCTGGCTTGAATCCTGGCTCTGACCCTGATTGGCCGTGTGATCGCGGGCACGTGCCGTCTCCCTCTGGGCCTCAGTCTCCTCATCTGTAAAATGGGGTTAGACATCTTTGCCCTTTACTTGGTGTCTCTCAGAGGGACGACCTGGAGAAGGCTCTCGATGGGCCGTAAGTGACTGTCCTTGTGCTGGGGGTGGGGCGAACAGGTTGGCCAGAGAGCCTGCCCCTGACCTCTGACCCTGAGCTTGGTTTTCTGGCCCTGCAGTAACTTCGGAGCCCTGGACCCCCAGAATATCAAATATAACAACAAGCAGGTGTGTGTGACGGGGGAGAAGAGCTCGGGAGAATGAGCTGGGGTGGGGGCAATATTGTCCAGTGAAGAGAGCCCAGGTTCAAATCCTTCCCTGGCCTCTTGCTTCCTGGGTGACTGGGGACAAATCCCTTCACTTCCCAACAAGGCCTCATTTTCTTCACCTCTAAAATAGGGAGGTGGGCTAAACTTGAGCAGGGCAGAGGCCATCCAGCGCGCCCCTCCTCATTCTGCAGATGGGGAAACTGAGGCCCAGGGCCCCTATTCCCAATCCGAGACTCTCCCCACTGCTCTACTGCAGCTCCTGTTCCTATGGAAAGTGCAGAGAGCTTGGTCCTTCTCCCAGGGGAGTCCCCTGGATGGTGGTTTGGGTGAGAAAGTCCCCGTCTCTGGTAGGCAGGAAGTTCTGGGGCTGTTGCTGGAGACAGGGTGGGAACTCCCCCGGTGTCGGCCGCGGGCTCGGGATCTGGCCCTGCCCACTGCCCGCGCCCTTTGCTCCCCAGGCTTTCGATGGCTTCGCGGCCCTGGGCGTCTCGCGGCTGCTGGAGCCGGCAGACATGGTGCTGCTGGCCGTCCCGGACAAGCTCATCGTGATGACCTACCTGTGTCAGATCCGGGCTTTCTGCACAGGCCAGGAGCTACAGCTGGTGCAGGTGGAGGGTGGAGGCCGGGCCAGCACCTACAGGGTGAGCGGCCCTGAGCCCGAGCTGCCTGAGGCCCTGGGCTCCAGCCACCTGGCCCAGCGCCTTCGGGAGCGTGGCGGGGACGTGGCGGGGGCTGCGACGGACAGCAGGGACGACGCCCACCCGGGCCCCTTGAGGGATCCCGCAAAGGCTGCTGGGAGGCAGCCGAAGGAAGAGGAGGGCGAGGCCAGCCCAGGGGCGGGTGCCACCGCAACGAGCTCAGGACAGTGGTCTAACAGGGACACAAAGGATTCCAGGAGGGGAGCCCCCGTTGCCCCAAAGGATGCTGGGGTGGATTCCACCAAGGCCAAGAAGGATGCTGGGAGCCAGGAGGCCAGCGGCTCCGAGGGCGCCAGAGCCGGGGCTGGAGGCCCCGCGGTCAGGACCAGGACGCCATCCCCGGCTGACCGGCTGACCAACGGGACGGGGCCCGGCACAGTCAGACTACGGCGGCCCTCGCTGAACGGGGAGGCGGGCACGGGGCCCGTCGCCCCTCCCCGGGCCCACGGCTCCTTCTCCCACATTCGGGACGCCGACTTGCTAAAGAAGAGGCGCTCGAGGCTTCGGAGCAGCTCTTCTCTGTCCGTGGACGACACTGACTCAGGGGCCCCGGGGCCCTCGGTGAGTGGGGCTGGGAAGGGCGAGGTTCACGGAGAGGTGGGAAGGGAAGCGCAGTCATCCACGCAAATGTGCGTCTCTGTGTGCGTGTGCGTGCGCGTGTGCCTGTGATCTCTCTGTCTGTTTGCACAGCTGGATGTGCAGACGTGCGTCACTGAGAACCATGGCTGGAAGGCCCTGGGAGACCACCTAGTCCAGGGGCACGGAACCTGCGGCCTCGAGGCCACATGGGACCCTCTAGGTCCTTGGGTGCAGACTTTTCACTGGGTCCAAGTTTTACCGAACAAATCCTTTGAGGGGGCCTCGAGGCTGCAGGTTCCCCGCCTCTGATCTAAACTCTCCCTCTTGGTGAGGTCACCAGCGAGATCCTAGTCGAACCCATTTTACAGATGACAAATAAAGCCAAGACAATTTAAGTGACTTGCCCAAGGTCACACACGTTGTGAGATTAGGGATTTGAACCCAGGACTTCTGACTTTAGAGTCAATGCTCTGTTGCCAGCCCCATCCGGTTTCCATGCCCATTGTTGTCCAAGGTCATCACAGTAGCCCTGAGGGGCAGAGTACAAGTATCCTTATTTATTATTATCCTTATTTACCGGGTGAAAAAGTTGAGTGTTCAGTGACACGTCTAAGGTCACACAACTAGTAAGTGATGTAGTCAGCATTCTAATCCAGGTCTTCTAATTCTGTAAACCAATTCATTTTTCCTTCACGTCCAGCTGTGGGATGGGGTGCACGTGGCTCATGGGACGGTGACAGCCTAGCTGGTGGGGGCTCTTCCGTTATCTCTTCCTTCACACTCACCCCGGTCAAGGGGAGTGGCCCTCGAGAAGGTGGGAGATACTGAGAACCAGTGGGAGATGGGAAATGAGAAGCTTGTGGGGAGCCAGCCACCGTGGATTCCTCCAATCAGACTTTGAGAGCCAGGCAGAGCCAGAGCTCTCAGACTGTGAGCGAGGGACCAGCAGCTTCTGGTGGTCAGCAGCAGACAGCGGGCTTGGGGTGGGTCTGCCAGGAGACCCAGCCACCAGGATAGAGAGAGGAGGGAGGTCACAGGGCTACTGCCCACCATCGTGAAGGATGGAGTCTGGTTCTGGACACTGCAGTGATGAGGGAGAGAGCACCCACAGGATGGGGACGAGGAGGGCCGAGGGCCTTCAGGCCACGTCATTTGAAGAGTAGCTGATGGGGCTGGAGATTAATTTATCTGGGAGAAGAGAAGGTTCAGGGGGCACACGAGGGCTCGCCTCAAGTACCTGAAGGACTGTCATGTAGACAGGGGGCCAGCCAGGTTCTGTTTGCCTCCAGAAGGCAGGAATGGCCTGAAAATCCATCCCAGTGAGTCCAGAGCCATCCCAGAAAGGATCAGCTGCCCGGGCAGAGAGTGAGCTCCGCCTCATCGGAGGTATTCAAGGAGAGCCGAGGTGGCCCGTTGTTGGGGACGTTGTGGAGGGTCTCTGGTTCAGGGACGGGGGACCAGGTGTCTTCCGAGGGCCATCCCTTCCTACGCGGGGGCCCTGTGATTTGGCAAGGAGGATTGAGAGATGAGGAAGGGCTGCAGAGCCGTGGAGGGTCCTGGGGCTGCAGCTTGGGCAGAGCCGGCAAACACCTAGAGGAGGCGAACCAAGATGGCGACAGGGCCAGAGGTCGTGTCCTACAAGGATTGGTCAAAGGCCCGGAGGCTAGGACGCCCAGAAAAGAGGAGGCTCGGGGAGGAGCTGGCGGCCCAGAAGCATAGCGGTAAGGAGGCAGATTTAGGCTTGATGGCGGAAACTCTCAGGAATGATTTGGGAAGAATTAGGAAGTCCAGAAGTGGAATAAGCCGCCTTGGAAGGAGGCGGGTTCCCTCTCACTGGAGACCACTGAGCCTCACTCTAGAACTGGAAGGGGCCTGAGGGCCACCTGCCCAGCCCTCTCATTTTACAGGGGATAAAACTGAGGCCCAGAGAGAAATGGTTTGCCCAGGGTGACGTAGATGATGAGATTTGAACCCGGGTCCTCCAAACCCACTGTATCAGCTTGCTTCCCATGCTCAAGCGGAGGCTGGGTGGCCATCTGCTGGCTGTGTGGTCTGGGGGATTCTTTTTTCTGCTGTGATTTGGCCTAGACACTTCTAAGGTCTTATCCAGCCCAGAGACTCTGGGATCCTGACGCTTTGCTTTGAGCCCCACGACTAGGGACTTAGACCTAGGCCCACGGGCTTCACCCGGTGCAGAATCACTGGTGATTGCAAGCTCCTTGAGGGCAGGGACTGTCTTTTGTCTCTTCTTGTATCCTGAGCAATTAGCACAGTGCCTGACTGGTAGGCAGCGCTGAATAAATGTTTGTCTATTAAGTGATTGGTGAGAAATGTGGCAGCCATCCTGGGGAGCCCTCAATTAGTAATGCCCCAAATGACTCTGAGAATAGGGCCTAAGGGCATGGGACTTTGAGCAAGTACTGCCCTTCTCTGGGCCCTCATTATCCCATTTGTCTGGACGACAGATCTGGCGTTCCATGTTCCAAGGCTCCTCCCAACCCTGACATTTCATGTTCTAAGGCACCTCCCAGTTCTGACATTCTCTAAGAGTCCTTCCAGACCTGACATTCCATGTTCTAAAGCCCCTCCCAGCTCTGATATTCTGTGTTCTGAGGGCCCTCATAGCCCTGACATTCCCTGTTCTAAAGTCATTCTCACCTCCAACATTTCATATTCTTTGTTCTAAGGTCTGTTCCGGCTCTTTGAAGTCTGCCCTGGTTCTGACATTCCATGTTCTAAGTTCCCTTCTACTATGTCTTATGTTCCAATGCCCCTCTCAGTTCCGACATTTCACATTCTAAATCCCCTCCTGGTTCTGACATTCCATGTTCTCTGCTCTAAGATCTGCCACAGATGTGACATTCTATGTTCTTAGATGTGTTCCAGTTGCGTCTTGTGTTCTAAGGCCCTTCCCACCTCTGGCATTCCACGTTCTCTCAGTCAACTAACATTTATCAAGTATATTATTATACTGTGTGCCAGGCACTGTTCTAAGTGGGCCTAGAGCACTGTTCAGTGCTCTGCTGTGTCCCCCAGCTCTGACATTCCCTGTTCCATGCTGCCCCCCGGTTCTGACATTTAAGTCAGCAGCCTCTGTTCTGTAAGGTTGACTCTGCACTCGGTGATCCCCGGCCCTTGTAGCCCTGAGATTTCCCACTCTGGGGGCCTGAGGGTGTGGCCAGACATCTCGGGGTATGGACCATGGAGCAGTGGGAGTCGCCACGTGGGGAGACCCACTTTGCTGAAGAAGGAGCGGGGTCAGGGCAGGCCCTGATGCCAGCCTCCCAGCTCAGAATCAGAGCCTGTGAGTGCAGAGGAAGGAAGGGCAGGGCGGGTGGCAGGGAGCTAAGTTGGGTAACTCTGAGCTGGGCCTTCGAGACAAACGGGAACTTCCCAGTGAATGGAAGTTGGAGCTGGTCAGCGGGGTGATGATGCGGTGGAGGACCTGGTGGGGAGAGAGCAAAGCGGGTGCAGGTCGGCCCCACATCTGGGAGTCCGGACTTAGGGAAAAGCGAGTCAGGGCTGATTGTGCGGTCCGGTCCGTGGAAGGAGCCCCCAGGAGACGCCTCAGGGAGTTGGCCCTTTCCCCACAAGCGGATTTGGGTGACTCACCAGTGTTTGGACTCAGTTCATTTCCTAGTGTCAGGGAGGGAGCGCCGAGCCTGCTGTAGCAGAAGGAAGAGGAGCTGGGCTCGAGGCTGAGCAGCTCTGCTCCTTTCTTGGCGGAGGCCCTCTACGCATCTCCTTTTTCTGTGAGAGGAGCGGGCTGTATTGTCCAGGTGGTCTCCAAGGCCTTTCTCCCTGTCAGGGAAGGCAAAATTCACCTTGGAGAAGACAAACGGCCCTTGCCGAGCATGTGACCCCTTTGCCAGCTGGTCCGGTTTCTCTGGACCCTGTAGAGTGCCTCGAGGGGGGGGTCACTTGAGACAAAGTGGGACACGGGAAACGTTCCACCAGGAGCGAGGAAGTGATGGGGGCAAAGGTGGGACGTGGAGAAGTTGCTCTAGGGATGGTTGAGGAAAGCTAGCTAGCTGGGGAGATCAAGGGAGGCTTCTTGGGGGAGGTGGCATCTGACCTTGGCCTGAAAGAAAGAGAAAGGTCATAGGCTCCTAGACCTGGGGCTAGAAAAGGACCTTAGGAGTTACTGAGGCAAAGCCCCTCATTTTAAGGGGCAGCCAGGTGGCACTGCAGTGGATAGAGTGCCAGGCCTGGACCCTTATCAGCTGTGTGACTCTGGTCAAGTCACTTCACCTGTTTGCCCCAGTTTCCTCATCTGTAAAATGAGCTGGATCAGGAAATGGCAAATCCTCCAGTATCTTTGCCAAGAAAACCCCAAATGGGGTCACAAAGAGTAGGATGTGACTGAACAACCTTATTTTACAGATGAGGTAACTCTCTACGCCTCAGAGAGGTGAAAGAACTTTCCCAGAGTCATACAGCTCATAATTGGCAGAGCTGGTATATAGGTCCAGTTTTTTATACTAAATTCACTACAAGAGAACATTTTTTGGACATGAGACTCTTTAAAATATCTTTTTTTGGGGAAGGGAGATTTTTATATTTTATTTTTCCGATTGCACGTAGAAATAATTTTAACATTTGTTCTTTAAACTTATGAGTTCCAAATTCTCTCCCTCCCCCCTCCCCTCCCCCTCCTTGAGAAGGCAAGCAATTTGACATAGGCTATACATATGCAGTCTGCAAAATACATTTCTAACTTTTAAAATTGATGCCAAGCACAGACAGTGCCGGGACTGCTTCTGACTGTCGGTGCAGTGTTCCACACCCACAGGCCGCCCCCTGCACAGTGAGGGGAGGGGGTCCATTTTCTCCCATCCTGTCATTGCCCCCCCAGCCAAACTCCCTCGTTATCGTTCTTGTGTTTGGCGCCAGTGTTTTCTCCACAGACACTGTCCTCGTCGTCACGTGCATGGTTTTTCTGGTTCTGCTCACTTCACCCTGCATCAGTGCATAGCAATCCT